AAATTGGATCTACATAAAAATCACCATAGATACTAAAAACTATTTATAGCCTGACCAGGAACATAAAAACCCTCGCCATGTTGCGGAAAACTAATGGTACTACATAATTTCTTTTAATGGCAACAATAACTAAAAACTTCATTGACATGTCACCTTGCATGTCAGTCTATTGCTGTCAAAGTGTAAACAAACTTTATTTTATATGTGTGCAATTGATTTTGTGAATGAAATTGCTAAAATCTTTTTATAGTCGTGAAAGAAAAGTGGTTCACAATGTGTTAAAGTATTTGTCGAAGAGAAATACCAAGGGTTCGGACAATATTTTCATTGAATAATGTTTCCAACAAAGGTTGTCAAATTGACTGACATGTTTATCGTATAGTACAGTCCACTATGAAAATTAGCTGTGGTTTGTTTCAACTACCTATTTTAAAGCTTTTTGTCACTTTCTAAGTGTTGAATTTTATGGAATTGGGAAAGAAGTACCGAGTTTGAAGCGTTCATGAGCAGACATTGCAGTTGAATATTCAAGTTCTGAATTTAATTATTGATGAATAATAAAATAAATCCTACTAGCTCGATTGATGGTTTCATTTAATTCATTTAAACCAGGTTACCTATAATAATATGTTTTCGTTAATTTTATTGAAAATATCAAATTAGCCCGTAATCCTGAATCCTGATACATAAAGTTAGCCTATTAATTTAACACAGGTACGACTGTACTCAGTGTTGCACTATCAAATGCAATTGATGCGCCTCTATGCCAGGGTTTTTATGTTCCTGGTCAGGTTATAAGTAGGTACCAACCCACACCCTGAAAGAAATACTTATTTTGCCTCTATTATCTGAAAATATTGCGAAAATAGCAATATTTTCCATTATCCAAAGAACTCGACACAATAGCTTATTCCCAGAAAACTAGTAACGAAATTAATGACAATGAAAAAGGAGGAATCCGTGGGTAGGTAAAAGGTAATTCCGTAGTTAAGGATCGATTTCCTTCTAATGAAAAGAAGATGGCAGATGACAACATCATATTAAATAGAACGAGGTCTAATAGTGCTCCCTAAAGATACCCAGTTGTTTAAGTTTTTGGGAAATTAGATATTATGTGGGCTATAATATCATAAATTAAAAAGAATTTGTTTCTGAAGAGGTCTAAACTATTAGATTGGGAACACTAGTTCCCAAAAGACACCTGTTTTAGTTTTTGAGACCAAAAGAAATTAGATATTTGGGTTGTTTCTCAAATAACATAAAGAACATTATGTGTGTCTATTTACTCGCTTTTTAGAGATATCGTAAGAAGCAGTCCCGAAATACTGGTGTACCATTTCAATATGTAATAACATCAACTCATAGTCATTTATGTCTCTGGGGAATTTACTTTCGTCGTATATTTTAATGGCTATAATCTTGTTTCGGATAAGATGTCTCTATTCTGGTATTTATATTTATATCGGTCGTACAATCAAATCTTCTAAAGATAAAAATATTTGACACTCTAATTCTAGATTTCTTGTAGTTTTTTATATGTAGGTGTTTAATATTATCAGATTTGTGATTATGTCTACATGACACGAAAATACAATAAGTAGGTATTTACCTACTTATACTTCGCATCTAAATATCCACTTACAAGTATAGATCGATAATTCAAGAACTGAACCGGATATTGTATAATTATTGATTTCTATTTATCAACGCATTAATTGGAATTGATTTTTGACGCATTCACTGATTAACAGTGCCGCCGCTCATCATTCTTGAGGGTTGCTACTTGCCACCCGGGATTTAGATGGTAGAGCAAGCTATATTTGGAACAGAAATATTCCCAGCTCTCGTTCCCACCGCTGCAACTCCTGTGTAGCCAGGATTTACTGCTTGACCGCCAAAAAACCCAACCAAGGCCAAGACCAAGTTTGTTCCGGGGGAAAGTTAAACTGTTATTGGACCCGAAACGAAATTAATCAGAAGAATATAGGAGGACTTCGAAGTTTATGTATTTGGGACATGTATAAGTACCCTGGAAAGGGCCTAAGTACTGAAAAATACTTTTCCTTTGACTTTATACAGCCCAATATTTGACGCAAGTAAAGCTATTCAGCGCTATACCAGTGGAATATGTAAATTGCTTCGCAGATAGCATTCCTATGTTAGAACACCTCAATTGGCCACCGACCCGTGGCCGTCATGGGTGGCTAACACCGTAGCTCATGGAGATCAGCCATAACAACAGTTTTCAAAGACAGCTGTCAAAGGTGACTAAGTTTCTTCCGCCACTTCTTTTCAGCAGCACCAGCCCATATGTTGTCCCGAAGTGGTGGTAGGGCAACTATATTTGGGATGTGTTTAAGCGCCCTGGAAAGGCCTAAATACCGAGTAAAAACCTTGGCTTTGACAAACTATAATTTGAAATGCTTCTGGCTACATTAACTAAGTTACCTAAGACAGTTCGTAAGTTTTGGCAAAGCTATGACGCGGTCGTCAGCAATGATGTTCTGTGGTTTCCATATTTTGAAAAGCGTCAGTTTCTCCTTACTTAGGAGAAATTTCAATGATTTTATCTACATAAGTGGCTGTTATTTTCGAACTGTAACCATGGGTTGCCATAAATATGACCGTCATTGTAATTTGTCGAGTTGGCAAATTAATCTTGAGAAAATATACATGCTCACTCATCCGATCGCCTTTTTGTGAATGGTCAGAGTCCAAGCTGAGTAAACAATGAAGAACGAAGAACGGGCATGGACCTTCTTTTACCGGTGATAAGCTCACGGTTCTTTTATAATAATAATATCAAATATTAGTCGCAACAACGGCCCAAATAAAATGTAATATGAGGCGCATCTGAGGCATTTTTATAAAACCTGTTTTGTCTGCTGGAAAGGACTCCGAGCTCACTGTACAACAATGTTGTAGGCAAGAATTTACGTTAAAAAAGTATATGAGGGTGACTTCCAAAGTTTCAAAATGAAGTTGTGCTTAATTCTTCAGAAGCAATAAAAGGAAAATTCCCCGAAGTAATTTTGCTAGGCTTCATTGTGACTTTCACTCAATGAGCAGAACTTTTGAAATACTTAGTACTCCATTTTCAACCGACTTTTTTACTCGCAAAATCATTTCATCGATGACTTGCAAACCGTCAATCTAAATTCTGAATTGTGCGATTTCCTAAAACAGTTAGGCTGGTTTCTAGGCAGTCCCACGTTTAATCTAGGCCCGTTATGTAGACAAAACTATACCTAACAGTTTAGTTAGCCTTGTCCGAGAACGCGGTTACAGCTTAGTAAAGTAGGCGGTTGCGAAAGAGGATTATTTCTTTTATCCTATTTTAACCGTGACATAAACATTAACCGGTGTTTTTGGAATGGAGTTTGACAGACTTGACGTTTGTTAAAGTTGATTAAAGTAAGATAATGCAACCCAGCCTAAGATATCTATCTACCCACATGATTTATGAGCTCGAGACTAAACTCGCGTGTGTGACATCCCTGCTAATGTCAGTTTTGTACATGCGGCAATATGTTACCAAATTATAAATTCAAATTATCCATCCATTAATCTATTTTAAAGTAAACACGCCAAGACATCGAAGTTAGAAAGCCACATTACCATAGACAAGTAACGGCGTAAACAGGTTTGTCATCCCGCGAACAGTCTATTATGTCTATTGACGTAATTCTATTGCCGTAGCAGTCTGCTTAACTGTACAATTAAAATAGTGCGCTTGGCTTCTTTAATTTAGTACAGGCACGGCAGAAAGTTGTTAATATTTTTGGTCCTTCGAATTTTGGTCCTTCGTTAATGGATGTCGTATTATCTAAGTAACCTGTGAAAGAGATTTTAAGACGTCGGGTTACTAAAAAGTTCAATAGGTAAGTAATTTTATGTCTGAAGGGAATAACTCCCGCCCGACATTCATGATGTGTTAACATTTTTAGAACCATAATAGGATCCTATTTTTATTAAATTAAGTATTTACCCTTTTCCTAAAAGGCTTGGGTGGTAACAAATAAGGAAAAAGCAATGATGGGCGTATTTAATCCTTAATTTATCCAAAATTAACGAACCAGAAAGTTATTTATAAAATGTTTATAAACTATTTCCCTGTTTGACGTAATCGTACGCCCAAACACAAAAACAGAAAGTGTTATTCACACACTGAATCATAGAAATGGCTAATAATTTTAGGAAAACTATTTTTAAATCACCATCAGATGACACATTAACATTTTTTTTTTAGCAAATATCGCGTCGTTGATTGATTTCGATTAAAGTTAAACTTATACACTTTTCTTCGCGCCTGTACCGTAATTGTTGAATATTATTCATTGTACGATAAAGATAAGATGTTTGGGAGCATTCAAACTTTAAGATTCGCACGACCTTTTAATTAATTTACCGTTGCATTTGTACAGGGTGTTCTAACAAAAAAGAGGTCATGATAAATACAACATTTTTGATTACCTGGAGGTAGGTAAATCGTTTTTCACGAAAAAATAACATAAGATTTGATCAATTTCAGTCCGAATTCAGTTACACAATGATAATATTAATAATGTAATAACAACTTAAGACAATGCTTCAATTTAATTGTAATATTTAATAAAAAGTAGGTAAACTTTTGGTGATGAGCAAAACGCATACTATAAAAATCTTTAAAGGTATTTCTCTGACGACATCGTTAAGTAGTCCCCATTTACGTCCATTAGATGTCCCGGATATAAAATAAGCTGCCCACGTACCTACATTCCCGCCAACGTTAGTAAATCGGGACAGAGGAAATCACATCAGCCGGCATTTCGAGACGCAACTGCAGTTTGTATATCTACGAAAATGCACCCAGACGTTCCTATAGCACGTCACCCCACCCCCTGTTAGACCTAACAAAACTATACAGGCATAAGTATCCCGTAGGATCGCAGGAACACAAGCTGCGTACGGTCCCATCCCTAAACGGAGGGGAAAAAGACAATAAAAAAAGAAAAACTCACTTTTTTAGGCCCATTCTGGACAATGGTCTCGTATTCCAAACCCTCGGACATTTTTCTCACAGTTTTTAAAATCACAGAAAAATATGCACTACAAAAATTATAAAATTTTTGGTATTTTTTCACTTGTCGATATATTTTTTGAAGCAGTTCAATGTTCGAATGTGCCGGCACTAATGTTGTTAATTTAAAACACTGTTTCCATTAAAGGTTGGTTGATAATTTGGTGTATAATGAAATTGAATGATGTACCGCCGGCCGGCGCGGGTGCACTAACCAATATCACACGCCCACAGCCTCCCTCACTCTCTGAGCTAGTCTCCTCCAGTCGTAATCGTGAATAATACATACAACTTTATGTATAGAAAGTATGTAGGTATAGGCCGCTGTTAAATGTAAAGCGCGGTCTCTCTACGACGAATTCGTTGAGACACTTCATTTGCAAATTGAACTAGACATGCGTAAAATGGAACGCAGTCTTATTTTCGTGATCGTGAAATTAAAAATATTAGTGTCAAATTGACAGGCGTGACGTTTGTTTGTCAACAATTTCAGAAAAAATATTTGTTGCTTTTTATTTATTTCGCATTAGTGCATTAAGAAAACTGTAAGTAGTAGATAATAAACGGTTCACTACAGCACATAAGACACACAGGTGAAACATTGGCCTTTGTACAAATTATTATTTTAAGGTTATATTTATTTCTTCATCACCGATCACATTTTCTTATTTTAAGATAAAAATGGAAGAAGACTTGCAGTTGCTGAAACAAGGGGCTGAAGCCAAAGTATACAAATGCACTTACCTTGGCTTACCTTGTATTGTCAAGGAGAGATTCCAGAAAAACTACAGACACCCGGATTTAGATGCGTGCATCACCAAAGAAAGGATAAGAAATGAGGCTCGAGCTATAGCGAGATGCAAAAGTGTCGGTGTCAAGACGCCCTGCCTTTATTTAGTGGATTTTGACCGACGTCGCATCTATATGGAGCACTTCACACATAGCATATCAGTCAAAGATGTTCTTATAAGCTTGAAAAGTGAGTTAAAAGACGAAATAGATGTTCCCGCGGTCAGTAAAAACGTTGCAGTAATGATAGGAGCGGCAGTGAGGAGGTTACACGACTCCAATATGATACATGGGGACTTGACAACGTCAAACATGCTTCTAGTTCCGCGATACCTTAAAGATAAAAAGGAATTCAGATGGCACGATTATTCAGAACTAGAGCTTTCATTGATAGACTTCGGTCTTTCATACGTAGAGTCTAAAGCAGAGGATAAAGGAGTGGACTTGTATGTGCTTGAAAGGGCACTGATAAGCACTCACAATGATTATCCTGATATTTTTAATGAGATAATGTTAGGCTACACTCGAAAGGGTGAAGCTGAGGTGGCAGAGACTCTGGCCAAATTCAAGGAAGTCCAAGCCAGGGGAAGGAAGAGGACCATGGTCGGTTGATGTAATTTTATAAGTTAAATAGGTATAAAGATGTAGTCATTTTTCTATAATAATTTATAATAAAGGTATCATTATAATAAGCAATCGAACTTTTGTTTACTTTTCCATTAGAAATTAACATAAAATATGTTTATGATAATTAATAGAAATTATTATGACTGGTTGGAAAACTGTACAAGGAGTCCTAGGCCTTCTGCAGTTAGGGGACTAATGATGAGCAATGTTATGATAGCTAAACAAGTTCAGCAGTGTGACCACTTTTTCATCAGATAATCTACCAAAAACGATGCTCAAATCTACCAAGACCTATTTAAAATTCTACTTAAATTCTACCACATAAAATAAAACATATAATTTGAACAAAATATAGTATTTTTGTTTATTTATCATCATCATTATAGTCTTTTTTAACATTTTTATATAATTTTTTGTCATTTTTCATTACTTGTAGCATGGATGCTTCAGGAATAAAATGTAAAAATAATTAATTTCGGGTTTAAAATTTGTGCAATTTCCAGCGCTCTTTATAATATTAGTATAGATAATTATAACACTTTTAAAATGAGTACTATTTAATAATACAAGTTTTAAGTTTAATTTCATTGATAAATAAAAGTACTTCTTAAAAATAAACCCTTGGTTTGAACGTTTGAATTTTTTTATGTCGATATTAACAACACTAGCCAATATGTGGCAACATTTGTGTGCATTGAATTGAACTGTCAAGTTAGTTCGCCTTCATATAGTGACCATAAACGGACCCTAAAGTTCTTCTTCTTCTTCGTGGTTCGTGCGTAATACGAATCTCCATAGAGATTTCGAGATCCCATCGATTGATCACTTTATGAAAGAAGCCTCTCGCCGCTACTTTGATAAAGCGATCAACCACAAGAACCCTCTTATCGTTAGCGCCGCCACGTATACACCCCAGAAAGATGTCGCTGCCCAATACCGACGACCTAGGCATGTCCTAGACGAGCCNTCCACGCCACTAGCCTACATTGTTTAGGAGCCTACACTAACGCCGCACTCACACTATGTGGCTGAGGTTGAGCGTCCGCTCCGGCTGGTCGGGGTACCGTGGCAGCTGCGGCCGCGCGCGCTCCGGCACGCAGCGGAAAGACTTGCGGAGCGTCGCGCCTATCTGCTTCGACGGGGACTTACGACGGGTCCACGCCACTAGCCTACATTGTTTAGGAGCCAACACTAAGCCGCACTCACACTATGTGGCTGAGGTTGAGCGTCCGCTTCGGCATCCACTAAAATACTAATGTAGTGTGAACAAGGCTTCAAACTCACGCTCCAATGCGGACGTCCCGGCTGCTATTGGCTATCAAAGGAACAACACTAAAGCCGCACTCACACTATGTGGCTGAGGTTGAGCGTCCGCTCCGGCTGGTCAGGGTAGCGCGGCAGCTGCGGCCGCGCGCGCTCCGGCACGCAGCGAAAAGACTTGCGGAGCGTCACGCCTATCTGCTTCGACGGGGACTTACGACGGGTCCACGCCGCTAGCCTACATTGTTTAGGAGCCAACACTAAAGCCGCACTCACACTATGTGGCTGAGGTTGAGCGTCCGCTCCGGCTGGTTAGGGTACCAATTCGACTAAAATACTAAATCGCACACTTGGTGTAATAACGTCAGAATAATGTAGTGTGAAAGACTTCAACTCACGCTCCAATGTGGACGTGCCGGTGTAAACTGCTAAAGCCCGATCCGTAGAATTTTGTCCAATGACCCCTAGCTACCTATCTGTAGTGTGTGTGTAGCATGTAACAGTATTAGTATGTATAAATATCGATCATCCCTATTTAATCATTCATTAATAAACTGAGATAGCTAAGAAGAAGTTGTTTACTTTATGCTCCCGAGCTCCCATCCTTACATGGCGACCCTGCCATTTTTGGAGGTCTGCCGGAGTTCGGTCGGGCGAAACATAAAGAACGATTATTATTAGTAAAAAGTGAAGTAAATCAAGTAAATTCAGTGAAAATGTGCCGGTCTAATATAGAAAAAGACGAGGTGTTTTTGACCCAAAATTCCTCAGGGTCAAATGCTACAGAATATCACATTTCCAATATAAGTATCGTGCTGACGCTGATATGCACCATGCTGGCGATTGCTGCACTATTTGGACTGTACTTGATATACAAGAGGTGCCACCACGGCTGGATCCGTAACGAGATTTTGGCGCAAAACTTAAGGCGATCCTGTCGCCTCCCGTCCCTTCGACGACCGACCCGGGAGCCTCGCGTGTGCTTCAACTGCCAACGCCGTCAGGACCCAGTGTGCACAAAATGTGAAAGTGTTTAAGTGAATCGGTAAGAAACAACTTTTCATTGATTATATTATCAGGTGAATAAAGTGTTAAAATAACTTTTTTTTTTGTGGTTTTGCTCGTCAAAGTGAAAATAATGAACAATAAATAAACTTTACATAATATTTACTAGGTAGTATTTAACAATAATCATGTGTAATAATCTTTTTAAAATATATTTATTTTGCGTAATCGAATGGCTGAAGAAATAAAGAATATATGTGCCAAACTCAAAAACATTAAANGGTCTTATTCAATGCATGATTAAGTGCCCTTCAACCGTCATGAAGACCACTTTTCGATAGGGTAAGTCCTTTACGCGGTATAACCGGAAAACCGAAAAAATGCCCCTTTCGGGGGCCCCCACCACTTAAGCACAACTCCGTCGAAGTCGAAAACTTAGGAGAGTCTTAATGGGCAACCAATGAAGCCATTAAAACAATAAAATCTTTTGTAGGAATTATTTCCGATTTAAAAGCTAATTCTACTGGACTAAAAGATAACCTTATAAAATTAAGTTATGCTAAAAGAACTAAAGATAATTTACAACGAAAATTAAATGAGGCCAGTCAATTACGCAATGATTTTGACGAATGTATGTTAGTAATTTTAGATGAAATTAAGCTAAGTAACATAAAAGGTAAAGTTCTCGAAGAAGTACAATCATATTGCGATTTATTTAAAGAGATTTATGAACAAATAGAACATTTTTGTGCCCAAGCTGAGTGCACTGTCGTAAATACTGAAAATACTGCGACACAGAGCACCATGGCTACTTTTGATTTTAAAACTTATCGCTCGCGCGTAATTATATTGCTGTCGCGACTGGCACCCGCAGTGAGTGTGCGAGCGCGATAGCAACATAATTACGCGCGAGCGATAAGGATGGGTAGCTTGGGGTCATTAGACAAAATTCTACGTGCTCACGGACCGGACTATACTGGCTATCAAAGGAACAACACTAAAGCCGCACTCACACTATGTGGCTGAGGTTGAGCGTCCGCTCCGGCTGGTCAGGGTACCGACTCGACTTAAATACTAATGTAGTGTGTGTAGACGAGCGATCCAAAGTTAACGTGCCGGTGTAGTTTACTATTGGTTATCAAAGGAACAACACTAAAGCCGCACTCACACTATGTGGCTGAGGTTGAGCGTCCGCTCCGGCTGGTCAGGGTACCAAATCGACTAAAATACTAAATCGCACGCTTGGTGTAATAACGTCAGAATAATGTAGTGTGAATAAGGCTGTAGACATATGATCCAATGCGGACGTCCCGGCTGCTATTGGCTATCAAAGGAACAACACTAAAGCCGCACTCACGCTATGTGGCTGAGGTTGAGCGTCCGCTTCGGCATCCACTAAAATACTAATGTAGTGCGAACAAGGCTTTAGACTCACGGTCCAATACGAACGCACTGGTATAGTACTGGTTGTTTAAAGGAACAACACTAAAGCCGCACTCACACTATGTAGCTGAGGTTGAGTGTCCGCTCCGGCTGGTCAAGGTACCAATTCGACTAAAATACTAAATCGCACACTTGCGTACTTGGTGTAATAACGTCAGAATAATGTAGTGTGAACAAGGCTTCAACTCACACTCCAATGTGGACGTGCCGGTGTAAACTGCTAAAGCCCGGTCCGTGAGCACGTAGAATTTTGTCCAATGACCCATAGCTACCCATCCTTATCGCTCGCGCGTNAAAAGAACTAAAGATAATTTACAACGAAAATTAAATGAGGCCAGTCAATTACGCAATGATTTTGACGAATGTATGTTAGTAATTTTAGATGAAATTAAGCTAAGTAACATAAAAGGTAAAGTTCTCGAAGAAGTACAATCATATTGCGATTTATTTAAAGAGATTTATGAACAAATAGAACATTTTTGTGCCCAAGCTGAGTGCACTGTCGTAAATACTGAAAATACTGCGACACAGAGCACCATGGCTAATTTTGATTTTAAAACTGCGGTATCATTACTGCCGGTTATGACTGGTGAGGAGGCTGTCACCAAATCCTTGATTGACGCCATAGAGCTATATGGCCCCACACTCGAAAGTGCAGGTAAGAAAAGGTTAATTAATTTTGTGTTAAAAACACGTCTGAATGAAAGTGCTAAATTACGCTTATCAGAGTCGTACGATAACTATGAAACTTTAATAAACGATATGCGAGACCACTTGCTTACCAAGAAATCAAGCACTTCCATTCATAACGAGTTATTAATGATGCGACAAAACGGAATGTCAATTGATAAGTACGGTAGTAAAATAGAGGAATTGTTTGTCAATTTGACAATATCACAATCCGACGGTAATCAAGCGGCACACAAAATATTGCGACCTTTAAATGAAAAACTGGCGATAAAGAGTTTTACCGACGGCTTGCGTAACCGTCAACTAAGTACCATTTTATCAGCCAGAAATTATTCTTCCTTAAAAGACACAATACGTGCGGCGAAAGATGAAGAAGCTTCGTGCAGTAGTCAAAATTCAGAGGCCACAGTATATTTTGGTCAAAGAGGACGATCAAACTATCATAGGAATCACAGAGGTAACAGAGGTAGTTATAGGGGTAACTTTAGGGGTTACTCAAGAGGTTATGGCAATACTTCGTTTTCACGGGGTAACCAAGGAAATGGTTTTGCCAACCAATCACGAAGTCGAGGTATAGAACAGCCACGCGGAAATTATGGCTATAGGCAAAATAGGCCTTTCCGCGGCGGTAGACAAAATAGGTCTTTTTATCGCGGTCATAGTGTTCATTATATGAATAACGACAACAATAATTTAGTCGATAACACCGTTCAAACTTCGACATTAAACCAGGGTTCAGAAATAGAAACTAATACATTACAACAGTTTTTTCGATAATAATTTCATATTATCATGTGATTATAGTAGTTCGGTGGTATTGTTATTCGGAGATGCCAAATATAGCTTTCTAGTAGATTCGGGCGCATCGATGTCAGCGCTGAAATACGAAACCGCATTGAAATGGAATCTTCCAATACATAATGAATGCATACACATTAATGGTATCGGGGGCAATGTACGATCAATCGGACATGTGTCTGTCACACTTAACTTAAATAGAAAAGAATTTGAACACAAGTTCTATGTTATCGATTATCTACCTTGTGTACAGTTTGGAATTATTGGTCGAGATTTTTTAAGTAAATACCAAGCTGTTTTGGACTTTGAAAATAATACACTTAAATTAAATAATTTGAATAATGAAATTATTACAGTACCAATGATTCACGGATCATTAGGAAAAGGGAGTTTTTTAACAATACCACCGAGATGCGAAAAAATTTTTACAATAGACTGTAGTAATGACGACGACTGTGTTGTTTTACCAGCAGAATTATGTGAAGGAGTTTTCATGGCCGGTTGTATAGGTAGACCGAAAAATGGAAAAATTTATTTACAAATATTAAATACCCGCGAATCGGAAGTGAACCTAAGTTATTTTAGACCGGAAATACATAGCTTAATTGAGTACGACTTATGTAACTTTGAGACTAGTAGTGTTGATGGAGAAAGAGTACGTCAGATGTTTTCGCAGCTCAATTTAAGTCATTTAAATAAAGAAGAAAGTGATTCCATTCGTAATATTTGTGCGAAGTTTTCAGACGTATTTCACCTACCAAACGACAAATTAACTACAACTCATTTATACGACCAAACAATACAGTTAAAACCAAATGCGGACCCGGTTTATGTCAAACAATATCGCTTACCTTTTTCACAGCGATCCGAGGTCGAAAAACATATTCAAAAAATGCTTTCAGATAACATCATAGAGCCCGCAAAGAGTGAATGGTCAAGCCCCATTCTTTTAGTACCCAAAAAATCTGACGATCAATCTAAAAAATGGAGATTAGTGATAGACTTTCGAAAACTAAATGATAGAATATTAGATGACAAATTTCCACTGCCTAATATTACCGATATTCTTGACTCATTGTCGGGTGCAATGTATTTCACTCAATTAGATTTATCACAGGCATATTATCAAGCAAACTTAAGCCCTGAATGTAGAAAATATACTGCCTTTTCAACCCCGTCAGGACAGTACCAAATGACACGCCTACCTATGGGATTAAAAATTAGTCCTAGTGCTTTTTCTAGACTCATGACAATAGCCATGTCGGGACTAACATACGACAAGTTATTTATATATTTGGATAATTTAATTTGTTTCGGTCGTAACTTGGAAATTCACAACAAAAATTTAATTGACATACTAATTAGACTCCGCCAAACAAATTTGAAATTAAATCCTAACAAGTGTGATTTTCTAAGAAAAGAGATGCAATTTTTAGGTCACGTTATTTCAACTGAAGGCATAAAACCAGATCCGGAAAAAATTAAAGTAGTACAAAACTATCCGGTACCAAAAAACGCTGACGAAGTCAAAAGGTTCGTGGCGTTTACAAATTTTTATCGAAAATTTATACCGAATTTTGCCGATAAATCATTACCACTAAACAAACTTTGTCGTAAAAATGTAGAATTTGCATGGACAACAGATTGTCAGGAATCATTTTCTTCACTAAAACAATCATTAATATCTCCACCAATACTACAGTATCCAAATTTTGATAGCAAAAATACCTTTATTTTACAAACGGATGCCTCAGGCTACGCGATAGGTTCCGTATTAAGTAATAGCGACAATAAACCAATAGCTTTCGCAAGTCGGAACTTAAATAAAGCTGAAATTAGATACCCAACAATAGAAAAAGAACTACTAGCCATTGTTTGGTCTGTAAAATATTTTAGACCATACTTATATGGGCGTAAATTTATTATTAAAACTGACCACAAACCATTAATCTACTTATTTAACATGGCAAATCCTTCTAGTCGTTTGACAAAATTTAGACTTTTACTTGAGGAATATGACTACGTCATCGAATATGTCAGGGGAGCGGACAATGCAGCTGCAGATGCGTTGTCTCGTATCCGAATATCAAGCGACGAATTGAGAGAGATGAATGAACATGTAATGTGTGTTTTAACTAGAGCTCAAAGAAAAAGAATGAATGACGATGATACGCATGGCGCGTGCGACAACCCTATGGTGGATTTGAGTACTACAAACATTCGGTCTGATCAGCCAAATGTTGTGGGAATACTTAAAAAACCAAAGGATTGTGTCGAATTGAGGTATGCAAATGGACGTGAATGGAAACTGATAGAGAGAAACGCACCAGAAAAAGGTAACTTATTTGCTTATGACCCCAAGAAACAAATTATAAATATAAACCCTTCTTTCCGATCATATTGCGCACGAGATGCCTTTGTGAGGAAGTTGGAAAATACATGTAATGAATTAAAAATAAATAATGTTTATATTATAAAAAATGAAAATAATGATTATGAAGTAAAAGAGTTAACTCGTATTGTAAATGACACAAAAAATTGGTCCGGACCACGTTTCTATATTTTAAATAGTATCATGAGAATAGATGATCGCGATACTCAACGCGTAATATTAAACGACTATCATATTTTGCCGACGAGTGGCCACGCTGGCATACGGCGCATGATAAACAATATAAAAAGACGATTTTTTTGGCCAGGTCTAGAAAAAGATGTAGCCGAATTTGTGAATCATTGTGACAAATGTCTAAGACATAAACATTTTAGATATATAAAAGAGCCTATGGTTCTTACTGATACAGGCCATTCTTCTTTTGATAGAATATATTTAGATTTAGTTGGGCCCTTAGTTAAGGATAGTGATAATAATGCATATATTCTTACACTTCAATGTGATTTAAGTAAATACGTTGAAGCGTACCCCTTAAAAAATAAAGATACTGTCTCAGTAGCGACAGCATTTGTAAATAATTTTATATTACGGTATGGTATTCCCCGACAAATTGTTTCTGATCGAGGCACTGAGTTTGTTTCGACAGTTATGAAAGCAGTGTGTGAAATCCTCAAAATTAAACAAACCACATCAACAGCATATCATCATCAATCGATTGGCAGTTTAGAAAATAGTCACAAAAACTTAATGTCATACTTACGAATACAAACGGAAAATGAACCACATAATTGGAGTGTGTGGTTACCCTATTGGTGCTTCGCTTATAACACGACCGTGCACACAGAGTCTAAGTATACACCTTACGAATTAGTATTCGGAAAACCTTGTAATTTACCAAGTAATTTAACTTCTGACATTGAACCATTATACAACCATTACGATTACCCTAAACAACTTAAATTCAGACTACAAAAATCGCAATATGATGCACGTCAAAATTTAATTAAAAGTAAAGAAATAAGGAAAATTAGATATGATCTTTATACTAACCCTATTTCATACAAAGTTGGTGATATGATACTACTAAAGAATGAACAAAGTGTAAACAAACTTGATCCATTGTACTTAGGACCATTTAGAGTTATCGAAGATTGTGAACCAAATCTAACAATAGATTATAAGGGGAAACCAATGTTAGTACATAAGAATAGAACTAGACCATATAGACAATAGTTTTAAGAAAATGTTTATCTTTCTTATATCAAAAATTATTAAGATATGTAATAATATTTCTAATAAACCTTTATCAATTGTTATGAAAAATAATACTTAATGCATTATTTTTATTTTTTTTGCCGGTGGGCATGTAGTGTGTGTGTGTAACATGTAACAGTATTAGTATGTATAAATATCGATTATCCCTATTTAATCATTCATTAATAAACTGAGATAGCTAAGAAGAAGTTGTTTACTTTATGCTCCCGAGCTCCCATCCTTACACTAGGAGCTCTAAGTAAGTACTTTATAAGACTCCACTGCTCTCTCTTCCTACTTTGCTCCCGTATGGAGGCGAAGCAGACGTGTGCGGGCGGGCGCGGCGCACACTGGATCGAGCCCATACAAAGCGTTGGACATCGCTTCCTTACTCAGTGTTTTTAAAATAAAATGAGATTGCGTCAACGTAGTAACTTCAAATTTTTACAGTGTAAGGTTGACAAGTTTATCTTTGNAAAAAAAACCCTAAAGTTCTTTTTTTCTGGCCTGGATTCTCGGCTCGGTTACAATTTAATTTTGGACTACCATTTATAGCAATGTTCTAAAAATACCAATTATCTACCAAAATCTACTAAACGATTTCGCACTACTAAATCATCGTTCTCTTTGCCTCAAATCTACCAAAAAAGTAGAAATCTACTAAAAGTGGTCACGCTGAAGTTCAGTAAGGTAGAAGCAGAGCAGAAAATAATATTTTAATCTTGTTTTTATAGCTCATTTTGGCTCATAAGCTTATGTGCTAGGGCTTGGATGATTTAAAAAAAAGTTACTGTCAAATCTGTCAATGTCAAAAACATAAGTTTGGTTGCACCTAACCTAAAAATTACTTTTTATTTTGGGAATTAATTTAATAGCGCCTGTAAAAATGAAACACCCGATATTTTTTCTATCTAAAACTGTCCTCAACAACAATTACAAACAGATTTTACCATTATCCCGTGAGTATTTTGTATAAAAAATCGCTACTTTTTGTTCTATGTAGAAGTCGGAAATATTTAAAGATTTTTCTAAAATTACAGGATTTCTAAGTACTCAAGAAGCTATAGAACGTCGCAACCATCTATTTACGCTAGAGAAGAAGCGGCAGATTGGGAAAGTTGGCAGAATCGAGAAGATCGAAGTCAAATACAAGGGTGTCCCAAATGACTGCACTTTGGTTATGAACAAGAATTTATCGACGCCTTATGATTGTGCCAGACGTAAGATATACATTTAATTATAATTAAAATAATCAGTTTAGTTTAAGACTCAGTCCTAGAGTTCATCATCATTTCGGCCAATGACCTTAAAACACAAAATGTGAGCAGGCCTCACACTTGGTGGACTAACTATCTGAAGAAAGTACGACCTGAATGCGGGAAACGCAAGACGGATCGTTGTAGAAATCCTTGGGGGAGGCCTTTATCCTATTTATCTACACTAATACCTACCATAAAGAGGAGAGATTTGATTGTTTGTTTGTATTCAATAGGCTCCGAAACTGCTGGACCGATTTAAAAGATTCTTTCACCATTAGAATCTTACTTTATTTCTGATAGAAATAAGCAGTATGTATCGCTGGATTAGCTAGTTATACATAATTAGCAGCCGCCTGGAACTTCATATGCGTGGACCCCATTTTACCCCCTTAGGGGTTGAATTTTGCAAAATCCTGTCTTAGTGAGCACCTACGTTGTAAAAAGAATCCCAATGCAAAATTTGAGACTCCTAGCACTTGTAGTTTCTGAGATTTCGTGATGAGTTAGCCAGTCAGTGACCTTTCGCTTTTATTTAAATAAATTGGATTGCCATAGAAGTTGACTGTAATATTGTGAACATACTTATTGTATCTTCTTTATTTTCAGATTTAAGTGAGTGGCATGTGGAATCCAGTGCCTTGGCCCTTCTAGATGGTTCAGTGTATTGGGACATGCACAAGCCTCTCACAGAAAACTGCACACTTGAAGTAAGTGAACTATTTATCTTTAGAATGCTCTTGATTTAGATTCCATTTTTACCCAACTGCGCCAAAAGGAGGGTTATGTTTTTAGCATCATTTTGAAAAATTTTACAGTATTCTTGTCTTTGTGGATATTTGTATACTAATCTTGACACCAAAGAGTTTTCTTTGTTTAGTTTCAGACTTCAGTTAAGTAGTTTGTTCTTAAAAAAGCATGTTTTACTTAAATACTAGCTGTATTTCTGTAAAACTTATACAGTGGAGTCACTGGACTGCAAAGAAAAAGGGTAAGAAAATCTTCTATATCTTCAAAGGTACCTTAGTTTTATGAAACAAAAATACTGGAAAAACTAAGCATTTCAATTTCAATAAGTAAAAAGCTTCTTTTTTTTCATAGTCAGGTTAGGTACTTTTGAAATGTTTTTTTTTTGCTGTGTTCATTTGCAGTCAGTCCCATAAGTCCCAGAAGTCATGAAATGTAGGAGATTTTCTAACTGACCCTTTTTCTTTGCAGGGAAGTGTATTTTACATTAATTAGGAATAACTACAATACATGTACACATAAGGGTACCATGTTGAGTTATTATGTTACATAAATAAATATCTTCTTTTTCTACCTTTTAGCTCCAAAACTTCACAGTAGCAGAACCACAGCAAGTGAACAAGGCGTTCTGGAGGACATGCTCTTTGCTCCTCGGTGCTTGCGCCACCGTAGCCTTCAAGGAATCCGTGCCAGTACATTTACACAGCTTCCCCGGGCCTGACAGTGAGTATTTAAAGACTTAGTGACTTTGGTCGAATTCATTGATCACTCTATAGGCCATAATATCTCAGACTTGGCCATAAAAACATAATAAGAAGAGTTGTGGATAACAATAATGTTTTAGATTTCATTGGATGCACTACTTTTACTGTATTAGCACCCTTTTTAGTGCACACTTTTTAGTGTATTAGCACCCCCGTGAAATTTAGTGTCACAGATTAACATAATTGTTAATCTGGGTTATAAACAATAATACTGTAAAGTTTCATCAAAATCCGTTCAGTAATTTTTGTGTGAAAGAGTAACAAACATCCAGACATCCATACAAACTTTCGCATTTTTAGTAGGATATTGGAGCCTATTTAGATTACAGTTTTTGCACTACTACATTCGACTGTGTAGTTCCCTAGAGCTTTTTTACGTTGTTAAGTCACTTGTATAGGTAGTCTGTATTAAAATAAAACTAAATATAATTTTCAAACTGTTACCTAGTGATCTGAGCTATCTTTGATTGCTAAACGAAATAATTTTAAGCATGATAAAACTGTTGAGACAATTTTTGTTACAACTTTATCATCTACTAGCGGCTGCCCGCGATTTTGTACGCATGGATCCCGTTTTTCCCCCGTAGGAGTTGAATTTTGCAAAATTCCGTCTTAGTGAGCACCTCTACGTTCTAAAAGGAACCCCATATCAGTGACTGCTTTCGCTTTTATAGATATAGATATCTGATTGACTGACTCACTCAGTCATCTCGAAATCTCAGAAACTACAAGTGCTAGGAGTCTCTTGTATCGGGATTTCTTTTAGAACGTAGGTGCTCACTTAGAACGGATTTTACGAAACACCACCCCTAAGGGGGTAAAACGGGATATACATTTATAAGTACTTCTATCTATATCACATACCTTTCAGTCCGCAGCGGCTCCTTCATCTACGACATCGACCTACCCTCCTTACCGGACTGGAAGCCAACGTCCCAGGAACTGTATACTCTCAGCGCTGAGTTCATAAAGCTGGTGCGAGCCAACTCGCCGTTAGAGAGGCTGGAGGTTGGTGAGGACCTCGCCCTTGAGATGTTCAGAGACAACGAGCACAAGACCAAACAGATACCGAGCATCGCTAAGAATAATGGTTAGTAAAATATTTTTCTTTTATTGTATACAGGGAGGCAGTAAAGACAACTGTTATAAGCCTGCATCTAGTTCCTTGCATTTTTTTTGTGATTTATGTATTGGTTAAGTCTATTGTATGTTTATATCCGTTGTCTAGTACCCATAGTACAAGCTTTGCTTAGTTTGGGACTAGAAGCGTAGTGTAAAATGTCCAAGGATATTTATTTTCTGGTAGCTCATTCTTGTCAGATCTGCCTGCCCAATATCCATTGCATATCCCCAAGTGGCAAAATATGATAGTTATAATTTCGTTATCGCTTCACAAGAACGCCGGAGCGAAAGGTTTTCGAAATTACAACAGTCCCTTTTTGCCACTTAGCTGGGACGCAGGTATAAAGCTTTCTATCTATGTTGACAACAGAAATTTCAAACTGCGATTGATTGAGCTTAAATTAATGGTAATTCGAGTAGTATTTTTCAGTCACATTATTTCTTTATAGGTAAAGTGACGCTATATAGGGCGGGAAACCACGTGGACATATCTAAAGGGCCTATGATAAGCAGCACGGCACAGGTTGGAAGAGTCACCGTCACCTCAGTTCACAAGCTCACTGGTAAGATACATTTTTGCATAATAATGACTCTTTTTATTTAATTCTATACTTATTATCACAATCAATCTGAGTACATTCATCGCTGGCTCATAAATACAGTTTTCGCAGTGATTTGAAAAGGTAACATTCGTTACGTTGAAGTTGTCGGTCCATCGAATTCGAATCGGTCTGAGGTCGTCGGTCCTACATTACGTTTTCCGAGACGTGATCTTATAATATTTTTGTTCTGCCTTTTCGTCGATTCTGCAGTAGGCATATTAAAGACGAAGATACTGTCATGCCCCCCCGAGTCATGAGTGTTATCGGTACACGCTAAATTATCCATGAGTGCACACGCACACTACAATAATGACCAAAAATTGGTGGGGCGCGTCTTCGTGGATGAAACGATCTTTATTTCTGTACCCACTATCATTCCAGTAATTAATGTTTTCTAACTCACATTTTCTTCTATCTCAATTCCAGGATCACAAGACAGCGAGGTCAAACAGCTATACAGGTTCCAGGGTGTGGCGTTACCGACCAACGTGATTCTGAACCACTTCGCGTACTCCATCCTCACCGAACGGGCCAAGAAACTGGTTAGTATGTATTATAAATTCAAAAGAATACGTGCTATTTTGTAACATTGTAGTTTAATCAAAACACCTTGAGTATTTTTTGCGTAAAAGGACAGGATATCAATGTAATAACATAGTGTAAACAGGCAGAGACAAAAATATCGGTGTGGGTTCTTCCTTCATTGATCATCACTACTTTGATTTTCTATAATACATTAGAAGTTTTGAGGTTTTCTATAATACATTAGTGTTGGCGTGTCTCACGCATAACTATACCCCTGGAAGTAGATCCAGGGCCTGGATCTACTTTTTTGATCATGTGGGTTGAGGGAAGTTCTGAGGTTTGACATTTGTCACCTTTGACAGTTAGTCAGTCAGTTACCTTTGACATTTGTCAGACTAAAATAGGCGTTTGACATGGCTTTTCTATGCGAATCATTTCTTTTATGACGGTTTATTCAACTCAGAGAATGTCTCAAAAACACTATCCAACAAAACTACTAGGGAATCGAACACCACAGTCATTCAATATATGATTTTTTCTCTTTCAGAATCCAGCTAGATCCCCAATCAGCTTCACCACAGACAAGGAAGACTTTGAACCAGAGAGCATAGCAGCCAAAGCATAAAGAATATACTGTAGTTATTAGAGAACGTAGGTTATTTGTTAAGTTATTATAATAAACTGTAATTAATAGAAATGGGTTTTTTATGCATCTTTCCTTTGATTTAGCTAGCTACAACTTTAAATTCGATTCATAACTGTCATAACCTACAATCTTTGGCAATAAATGAAATACTGATGTATTGTAAATAAATAATTATTTTTATTAATCTTAATTTTCAACTTAGGTCAACATCATAAAATTCTTGAAAGAATGAAGGAAATTCTTTATTGCTAAGAAACTTCATTTAGATTTAAACATGATTCAAGTAACCTATAATAGCTACGTTTTTGGTTTCTTAGGATCTGAAGGTCCGTCGCCGTCTTCTGTAGTATTTTGGAAGATTGCCTTAGGTTGCGTCTTTTTATACGCTGGTGCCACCCAGAAGGGATTTTCTTCTGCATCCTTTGCGTATTTCAATATAGCTTCCCTCGGATCCTGTTCATCATCTACCCTTTTGCTTAGACCTAAGTTTCTAATAACGAAAGAACTTAAAGTACTTCCAGATGCAGCTACCCTGCCTCCTTGTCCAGACGTGATAGGCAAATCAGGTCTTCTAGACTTGAGTGGATCTAATCTGTCTTTCTCCATCCTCTTTTTACTTGTCCTCAGCTTTTCTTGCCTGAATAGAGGTAGTGCATGAGGTGTGATAATCTGTTGGGAACTCATAACTTCTACAGAATGTTTCTTCCTGTGTGTCTTAACCACACATAGTTTAGCCCCTCGCAAGCTTCGCTTCTGATCGTAGTAACACTTCACAACACCGTTCCCACAACTGACGAACAACTGATTCAACTTTGCATGCCATATCGCCTTTATCACATGTGATTTGGTCACTTCGAGCTGTGTTACCAACTCAAACGTCTTTGTATTGTAGAATCTAAGCCTTCCCACATCCTGGCCTCTCTGTAAAGACTCTCCAGTGAATATCATATTGTCATCCGGACTAAAAGAACAGTCAGTCTGTTCGTACCTTGAGAACAGATCAGGGAATACGTGTAACGGTTTCTTGAAGTTTCTCAAGTCCCATAACTTGAGTGTGTCATCGTTGCCTCTGCTAGTCAAGTATGATCCGAGATAAGAGTAAGCTATGCTGCAGATTTCTGATTGTTTTTGATGGGCATCTCTTAGGAGGGTTGTGGTGTTCACGAAATTCTTCCTGTGGTCCCACATTTGTATGGATCCGTCGTAGCAGCCGCAGGCAACGGTGTTTCCATCTCTGGAGAAGGCACAGGCGGTGGGATTGGTCTTGAGACCGCCTTGCTGTCGGGGTTTTATGACGGCTTTGTGTTGCTTCGGGTTTTCCGTCATCCAAAGTCGCAGGGTGCCGTCTTGAGCGCAGGTCATGAATTCGTCCCGAATGTGAGGGTGCCAGCAACCGCTGTTCAGAGATGCCGTGTGACCTTTCGTCCTGTAACATTGTTAATGGAAACTTAGTAAGTAAATATTAAAGGATGACTTGCTACCGCGTTCTAATGTAAAGTTAACGCCATCTCTCGGCGACAGAGATCAGTAGAAAATAAATAATCCGTAGTCTCTACGACCGGCAGCAATTTCAAGACGATTAGACGGTGTAAATGTTTTGATTGATGCAATCAGGGTTCGAAATTATCAAGATAATCACGCTTGATGATAATTATCCTATAATTATCAGATACCACTAGACGAAAGTGCGGAAATACACGTTCGAAAACTTCGAATACAGTTCATTTTCACGAGCGCATTTTTTTGTTATTATCAACCGATAATTATCCATCTGTTATTATCACGATAATTATCTTGATAATTATCCCTTCGAACCCTGGATGCAATAAACAAAATAAAAAGAAAATATTGCAAAATCCAGATTAAACTATGTAATTTCAGTATATTAAGTAGCATAGTAAATATTACACAGTTATGAGTATCCAGCCACTTACTTCGCCATATCCGCAATGTACTGGTCCCCCTTCACGCACTCCAAGACTTCAAATCCGTCTCTGTCCAAGACCTTGGCCTGTGCTGATCCGCTCACCACCAGGATGGAGTCTCCGGTGGTGGAATACTGGAGAGCTCTGATGGGGTGGTTCTCGCACGGTTGTAGTGTTCGGAACGAGCGCATTGATGCGTCCATACCTGTTTGAAATACAAAACCGATTTGAAATGGTCGCGTCATGTGTGGTCTCTCATCGGAATCTATGGCAGAAACTTAGATGCAACTCAAAAGTAACTAGAAGTTGCAGCTTCGTTGCAATTGCGTTTCACCGTGTGTTCTGGGCCTTAGGGTCTGTGTTGTGTATAAGGCGTTTTTTAAACGCGCGTTTGAAGTAATCAATTTTATCACCTATCTATTTACAAATAATTGTATATTAATGACTACCTGGCCTAAGCCTAGGCGCAGACCGCCGACTTTTAGTTGGCCGATAGTTGGATCGGGCTGTTAATCAGTATGGAAATGTATGAAAGTGTGCACATTCACACCGATTTGGTATCGGATTCTTCATACAATTTAAAATCGGGTCCAACTCAGTTTTATCTGTCAACTATAGTCTGGTCCGTGAGCACGTAGAATTTTGTCCAATGACCCCAAGCTACCCATCCTTATCGCTCGCGCGTAATTATATTGCTGTCGCGACTGTGCGACGGGTGCCGGCAGAAGAATGGAGGGTCATTGGACAAAATTCTACGTGGACCGGGCTTTAAAAGTCGGTGGTTTGGTCAACAAGACGGAGCAGAGTGGAGAAGTATGGGGCTGTCAAATTTTCTTATAGAATTTGGCAGGCGCGGAGAAGAGAAGTGGAAATAATGAAAACTTGCATTATTCAAAACACTTCTCTTTGGTGGAAACCAGACCTAAGTGTACCAAACTACTAGGTATGCCAGCCAGAAGTCGTGCTGTTTATATTGCGCCAGAAGTACAAGTAACAGTTCATAAAAATCTCAATAAAGACGATTTTATTCTTACCAGCAAAATCCCAGAATGAGACTTCGTAATCAATGGATCCTGTTGCCAGCCGCGCTCCAGACGGATCAACAGCCAGTGCGACAACTGCTTTGGTGCCATGTTGCATTTCTACCTGGAAATAACCAATTTAAATTCTGTTGAGTATATATAGCTGATTGGTCAAACTATGACTATTTCTGATAGGTACATTGCTTGAATGAAGGGAATAAATGTATTTTTATTTTTCTAACAACTTTCATCAGAACCATAGCCAGTGAACACCAGAATGTTATTTTGTAAAAGCTGAAAGTTTGGGTTGGAAAGGTCAAAACAAAGAAAAATAATAATTGGTGATGATGGATACCTCTATTTTGCAACAACATAAATTGTAATGTGACATGCAATAAATGTTTGAATTTGAATTTAATAGCGTGGTATGTGTTGAACTAGCTGTACAGTTTTAGATTATGATTTAATAAGTGAGTGACGAGCTTAATGAAGAATTTATCTATCAGACAAGAAGTTAAAGTAATTATTAATCGGGAACATAAATGTGTACAAAAAATATTTTTTAATTTTAAATATCTTACCTCATGACTATTAGGTATTCTCTTTTCCAATGTCAATACTTCTTCTTCATCAGACCCACTAAGATCATCATAGCTGTCTTCATCATTACTTCCCTTAGGTTTCCCCTTTTTACTAGCTTTACTGTTCAAATCTGCTGGTATTGGAGGTCCAATCTCTTCATCTTGTTTTAAATTAGGCGGAGGTAAAGGACCAATGACTTCATCATCCTCATCATCATCATTTTGAGATGATGATGATGGTTTTTCATCAGGTTTACTTGCTTCTTCTTCTAACTTCCTTTTGGCAGCTTCTTGGGCAGATTTTCTAGCTTCTTCGACCATAGCTTCGACATCGAAGTTTTTAGCCTTCTTACCGAAGTTTTTGATGCCCATAACCTGATGGACATGTTGGTTCTCCAAATCATCAGCTATTTCTTCGATTTCCTTGTGTTCTTGTATCGGAGTGCGGCCGAAAGTACCAAAACCAGACGTAGATGAAACCTCATCGTCTTCTTCTTGGGTTTTCTTCACGTTTAGTGAGATTTTTCCAAAAGATATCCCTTTTTTGTTCATGTTTATTGTCAACACTGTAAATTATAGTGTTGTAAAAATGTTCCAGAGATTGAATTCTATATTGAAATTATATGCAAACCGCACAGGATTTTTCTCGAGATTTTCTTTCAGTAAATAATTACAAGAAAATAATCAAGAAAACGAGAAGCCAAAATTCGCTTCCTTCCAAAATGACAGTCGCTGTCAAAAACATAACAACAGCAGCAGCAGAGGGGCCACGTTTGAGAAAAAATAAATTCACACAATTTTTGTTAGCGACATCTGTATTTAAGTGATATAATTATATCCAGGATAACGTCGCGCTCGACGCGCGCGAGCGCGTCGAACCAAAAATACGGCCTTTGGAATAATCTTTAAAAATGGATTGAATGGAATTACTTACATACAGTATAGCGAATCGAGATAAAAAAGAAATTAATTGTTACCGCGGTGTCATGCTGTGACAACTTAGGGTTCCTGGGTTCCACGAGTTAATTCACTAATAACATCGTTTCTATACTATTAAAAAGTGCAAGAATTTTTAAAGTATAGTGATGATAATTAAGTAACATTGAATTAAAATTAAATGAACATTGGTTGCGAGTGTTGCGACTTGCGATTACAGCCATGTCTCCTAGCATATAATAATAACCCAGATAAATAGATGGCGCTGCTGCTTTTACTGTGATTGTTAGTAGTCTTTGTCGTTGTTGTCGTCTGTTCTCTCATGTCATTTCTGTCAGCTCTCAGCTGTCATTCATCGGCCGATTTCTGTTGAGCTGTTGTGTTGTGTTGTGCTACAGTTCATGTTTTTTACTCAAAAAATTCACAAAAGCTATCGCTGCATAATCAACCGCATTTAATTAAATTCGGTCAACAGGTAAGAAAATCCTACAGTAACCATATAAAGTAAAATCGACGACACACGTAGACAAATCTTATTGAAAAAAATAACTACCTGCTTAAAAATCGATCTTTTCTAAAGATAAATTATTCTTTTGTATATTAATTTAGGTTTATCAAGCAAAGGTAGATTGATTTTCAGGTCGAGCATAATACCTCAATGTTCAGTATAGCTGTATTTACCGTGCCGCACCACAGCGATACGATAAATCCAATCTCATTTTTTCATCATCATTCTGTTTTAGGAAGCGACCGCAGGCGGCCGCGTTCTTCACAATGATTAGACATGCAGTCTTCTGCTTTTTAGTGACTACAGTATTAGGATACGTGGACAAACGTAAGTGTTATTTATAATAAAAGAACATAGTAAATTAAATCCTTACCCTCATTTTAATTAAAATGCTTTGAAAATTTACTAATTTTCCTGCTGTTTTGTCTATTGATCACTGAATAGCCAATTCAGTGGCTCGTCCGGGTCATGTTGTAAACATGATAATATGGTTTAGTTTTCCTTTACTGTTTATAAATAAGTTATGTTGTTATTATTTATTCAAATATTTTATAAATAATATGCAGTGGGTATCTACTTTATCCAGTTTTGATAAATTGATGTAGGTATCTACCTAAATATTAATTTGTTATTGATGTAAATATTAATTTGTTTACCATTTTTTTTATTAACATTCTAATAAGAATTGTGTCAAATCCCTCTAATACTTTGTTAAAATATTTAAAAAATATATTTAAATAAATCCAGAATATCAGGACAATAAATAAACCTTAATCTGATAAAAAGATAAATATTTTTCCTTGGTTTTATTAATCCTTATTTTAACTTAATAAAGTTCAAAATAATTATAATAATTTATTAAAGTGATATTATAATCAATAATGGTTGCTAAGTGAACAGACAGACTCTTTTTGAATAATTATTGATTTAATTTTTTTGACAGAAAATCCACCGCAATGGAGTCCAGTCTACACAGTGAAGGGACTCCTCAACATTCCTTATGCTGAACTACACGAACCTTTTTATGCTTGGTGAGTCATTAATAAAAACATAAACAATAATTACCTACCTACTACACTATTATATTCTGTTTGCCAAAGCTAACTATAATTAGAAACAGTTCAGTGTCAGCTCAAGGACTTTTGAGTTTAATTTATAGCTTCTTCGTTAATCAAGAGGTAGCTGCATCTTTTGAGATCTGTGCAATTTTACAAAAGTGACTTATCATGGATCTACCCACTTATATTACAGCTGCAATTATGTCATTCATCTGTATCCTTTAGTTACTGAATTTTGGTATGTAATCTTTCAACAAGACATTATTTTGATTTTAATCTGGACAAGCCATTTTTTTTTCTCAAAACAATGTTATAGGTAAAATTAAGGGTTAAGATAGTCGCCAAATAGTGACGCGACAGAAATTCTATGGTATATTTAGTGAACTAAAAATTCTTACACTGTCTTTCGCAGTGCGCTGTCCTTTGTTGACATTCCGTAAGATCATGTATGTTGATGATTTAAGTTTCATTGTTTGAGTAAACTAACTGTCTTAACAATGCATGAATTCCAACGAACCAACAATTCTACTTTACACTTGTTGCTATGACAGTATGAATTATTGTTTTTGAATTTATTAACAATTTTTCCTGTGGTTAGGCAGGTTGTGTAGGCAGGAAATCGATACAGGATAGGAAAAAAAAACTAAAATCGGCGGATATCCTACTAAATGCTACAGTTTGTAGACATATAATAATAATATTATGTTTGTTACTCTTTCACGCAAAAACTTCTGAACGGATTTTGATGAAACTTTACAGTATTACTATTGTTTATACATCAGAATCGTTCGTTCGTTCGTTTCAGCCGAAAGACGTCCACTGTTGGCCTTCAAAGCCGTCCACTGTTGGCCTACAAAGGCCTTCCCCAAGGATTTCCACAAAGACCGGTCCTGCGCCGCTCGCATCCAGGCACCTCCCGCGACCTTCATCAGATCGTCGGTCCACCTAGTGGGAGGCCTGCCCACGCTACGTCTTCCGGCTCAACACAGAATAGCATATTTAATTTCACGCGGCCGAAGCCGTGGGCAAAAGCTTGTGTCTATATAAATGCAAATACTATTTGATCATGTATTTATCTCTGAAACTCTTGATGTCCATCATGGGTTGATTTTGCTAACACTACATCAGATGATCACGATATCACAATCGTTTTAGCTCTGACTTTAAATTAACCTTTGCGACGACGACCAAATAATTGACTATTTGCGGATGCCTACCATAAATAAATGTGAATGTCACCTACCTATACAGGGTGTTAGGTAAATGGGTATATGAGCCGACACTAGCCCATGTTAACATGGTCATATAAATGGTATGGTGAAGTCAGAAAATTGATATCTTCATTTTAATTATTTTAATTTTCATACAAATCGGATTTTATAAAATTTATTTTGTATGAAAATGACCATGTTAACATGGTCTAGTGTCGGCTCATATACCCATTTACCTAACACCCTGTAGTCCTAGCACTTAACTCGGTCAGTACTTGTGGTATGGGAGCGGCACGGGAGTGGGTTTTTATAACATCAAACGTGGACGAGACTTCAGACTGTTAACATGCGAAAATGCACTGCTTGAAAGAATCACACAACCTATTCTTCAACCTATACTTCTTCTCAGCACTTGCCATATGTTTGTCTCGAAGCGCTGGTAGGGCCCAAAAGATAAGGAGACATGTAAAGTGCCCCATAAGGGCTACCTTTTATTTTTATATTTTTTGACGTTCATAAGTGCCACTTGTGGTCTAAACTGAATAAATGATTTTGATTTTGATTTATTCCGACTACATGACTAGCTGCGCTATAATATGGAACCGCTGGGAAGGGGTATCTTTGTTCAACAATTACGTCGAAACTAATAGACGTAGACTAATAAATTTACATTCGTTTTGTAGAATAACCCAAATACTAATAATACAATGCAAAGAAAACCTACTCCAACGACCTGGTTTTTCACGTGTTGGAAAATAACAGAAAAAGAAGTGAAAAATTCATGTTTTTTTCTAATTGTAAATCTATTCTTACTCCCTTAAAATGTATGAAACTTGTGTCTGTTTTCTACTTTTACTAAAAGAGGTGAAAACTAAAAATTAAAAACTTAAATCCTTGTAATATTACGAGAAATGTGATTTAAACAAAGGTTTATGGTATTAAAGTTATTTATTACTATGTATTCATAAATAAAATCGTGTCAACTGCTGAACTGATAATACGTCTTGAATAAACTTTTATCGGAATAACCTTTTCGCCTTTTGATAAAGTTCACATCGGGATAAATATTGTCGTGAATCTCTTTGTTTGATTTCATAAATTGACAAGTTCAAAACACTAGATGTAGGTCACAGTAAATCATTTTGTTCGCAGAAAAAATGTTAAATGGACTCTTATTAAATATTCCGTCTAAACTTACTTTATTTTAAGCATTTTAAGGCAGTGGGAATATAATTCCCACCATATTTTTAACCTCATTCACTTGTGTTAATTATTTTATGATTTTTTATTATTTTTTGTCTGTTAAAGGGTTAACTTTAAAGAAAAACTATGGAAAAAGCTTTTGAAAGTGAAAACGTATCTAAGTTAACTGCATGTTTCCATCAGAGTAGGATAGAACCACCCCCTACTCTTACTGTGGATATCATAAAAGGCGACGAAGTAAGGGGCATACGAACTTCAAGCCTCCCCAACCCCTCTAGCCTACGTAGGGAGTGTAAGCCAAATCCTTCCTAGTTGCGTCTGATTTAGAGGTGGGCGCCGATATACAATTGGCCGGCGGCGGCGCGCCGACTTTTTGACCTCGGCGGCGGCGGCGTCGGCGGCGTGACCTTGATTGACTTTTGTTCATTAGGTTTTTTTTTTAATCTGCTTTTTTAGTATCTGTCATTAAGACTAATCAGGTGATTTGCAGTTGGTTGGGGTTTGAGCCACTATTGGCCGGAGGATAAGTTTCACATCTTAAATGATAATATGGTGAGACTTCGGGGCTTCATTACATGCGCCACTTGGTCAGCCAAGCAGCTGAGTTTGCAACAGTCTAGTCACTTTAAGATCACAGTTACATTTGAGGAAGGCGGCAGCTTTCTGGTGTCTGGGCTACTTTACTAGTAGATGTTATAGAGTAACAGACCAAGTACAGAGTCCTGGGGTACTCCAGCTCTGCAGCTAAAAAGATAATATTTTGTCACCGAGTTTGATTTAAAACTGTCTGTCACTGAGATAAGAATCCATCAGGAGGTAGTAGAAGTGTGCTAGAAGGTACTTTTTAATTTCATAGAATAGTCCTATATGATAAACCCAGCTGAAGCCGCAGCGAAAGCAGACGTACAGGATTCTTTCTTTTCCAAACATTGATTATGGTTGGTATGGTTTCTGCCAAAGTTTATGTTCGGGTTTACTATATTACATGGGTCATACTTAGGCAAGGGAATAAACGAGCAAGAATAATCCTTTTCCATAATTTTAACAATACAAATGTCAGATTAATTGAGCGATAAGAGAATTCGTTAGGCGACTTGCCAGCCTTATGGATCATTTCCAAAGTTAAGAGACTTGCGAGGTTCTCACTCAGTGTGGTCATTGTCAAGACCATGGACTTCATGGTGATCAGATCAAATGCAAGTGCTTTACGAGGGTCCATTTTGGCTATTTCTTTAGCTAAGCCATCTCTCTTAGCGTTAGTTCTTTCGTTTCAGCCGAAAGACGTCCTGCGCCGCTCGCATCCAGGCACTTTCTGCGACCTTCCCCAAATCGTCGGTCCATCTAGTGGAGGCCTGCCCACGCTACGTCTTCCGGCTTGTAGTCGCCACTCAAGAACTTTACTGCCCGAGCGGCCATCAGCTCTACGAGATAATATGTGCCCCGCCCACTGCCACTTGATTTTAGCTATTCTGTGGGCTATGTCAGTCACTTTGTCCTCCTGCGTCTTACGCCCTGAATTAGCGTAGTAGGAATCAATCTTCTACTTTGAACTTGAGGAGGGTAAGCGGAAACATGGCGGTCAACTTCTCAGAATACAAAAGTACAAAAATGTCCAGAAGCAGCATACGAAAAGATGCAAAATGGGCCCTCTCAAATCACAGTGGGCAGGTTTGGCAGCACAGCACCTAGAATGGCGGGAGATTGGGTTGTGTAGAGGCGAGTCCGCGAATTTAAGGAGCAGCGCACAACTGAACTCGACGCAAAACGCGATGATGTAAATCCCGTACATCTGCCGCCATTCACTATAATTATGTTGGCGGCGGGTACTCTCAATGTGCGAGGAGTTTGCCGCGAAGATGGGCTATGTAAGCCATCTTCGGGCGCACCAGCGCCGCTAAGATAGCTAAGTCACCATGACCGAAATCGGTCGGATGAATCATCGTCATCAGTAGGAATTAGGGCATGAATATCGGAATCTCGGAATCTCGTAATATCGGAATCTCGGACTGCGAGATCCGATATTTCAATTCCGATATTGAGCGACCCAATATCGTAATATCGGAATCAGATAAAAGTTTTAATTGAGATTTTAAACAAAGCGTTAAAACTCGCCATAACCTGCCACAAAGCCCAAAGTACATGATTGGCAAAGACCAATGATTTTCTCATGTCCCTCACCATCACTTTTTGTTCCACTGCAAATATTTTAATATCTTTACTATTTATGGTTAATTTAACTTGTTCTAAATCAATTTTAGCATTTGCCATAGGTACTTGGTCAACAAAGAACGACATCTCAACTCCCTTTCAAACAATAATTTTACTGGACTATGGACCGTCAGTTCTGCGTACTAACTACGATGTGCCCTGCCCATTGCCACTTCAGCTTGCTAATCCGTCGGGCTATGTCAGCGACCTTAGTTAGTTTACGGAGCTCCTCATTTCTGATTAGATCTCGTAAAGAAACACCAAGCTTATCCCTCTCCATAGCACGTTGTGCCCTATATTCAAAGGCCACGTTTTCGAGCCGTATATCATCACTGGTATGGTAACACACAC